GGGTGTGCTCTCTCTCTGTTTCACTGCAAAGTCAAACAGGCTGCTGTGATTTGGTGAGATGTGAACCCAGCAACTGCTGCTTCCCAGCTGACAAGTTTGCTTTACTAGCCTTGAGGCAAGTGTGAGAGCTGGGAAAGGAGCACAGACGTCACCTATTGTACCTGTGATGTAGAAGTGGTTCAAGCAACTTGCCAACTCTGTGCCCAAGTGTGGCTTAAATTGTGGAAAAATATGTACACCTGACCTTTCCTTTAGGTGGAACTCAAACACCACAGCTAATCCAAACGAATGTCAAATTCTGGTTTGATGACGTTCTTCCCCTCCGAATTTCCCCCACAGTTTCACTTGCAGGGAGAACACATTTGTGTCCTGTCATTTGTGCAGTGGGACTCTGTGTCACTGGGCAGCTGCTGTGCCCTCTTTCACGGATACCTGCCCCCAGTCGGGGATGAAGGATTCTGCTTGCAGAGGCACTGGAATGCTCCATGATCTCTGGACCAAAGGTATTATTTAAATAATTGATGTTTTTTATTGTTGTTAAAAGAGGAGTTTCTAGATGTTAGAGTAAAGTGATCCCAGAATCATAGTGAAAGTCATGGTTCTCCTGAAGTTCTTAGGTACAGTAAGGATATTGCTGAATGGGAAGGGATAAAAAATGCATTCAGAAATCAAACATCAGGAAGACAGAGGGTTGTATTTTCTTCATGTAATGAAAAATAATTAAACAACAAGCCCATAATTTTTAAATGTAATTTGGAATGAAAGATAGTTCTAAAAGAATGAGCAATAGAAAATGTTTTGCAATTGATTAAAACAGTGACACTTTTCTGACTGGGAAAGCACATAGGAAACACAAGTTGCCTGAGTAATGTATGTTTTTAAAACATGTCCCTTGCTGGATAGCTATATGGTCATGTGGCTTAGTATTAGTGGGGAGGGCATCATAGAATCCTCTGAACTTGCCATGTTAAGGAACTTTTCTTAAGATGTGATTTCCTTTCATAAGACTTGTACAGATCAACCTGTATTTACAACATGGGGGAAGGCTGGTAAATGCATTTTTAGGATAATTTAATTTACAAGCCCCTGGGATAGTTTCCAAGTCAGCAGTGGAAAGTCTTTGTTACAGATGTCCTGCCTCCAGGAGGCTCACAGCACTGCTCATGGAGCTGCTCAGTGTTGCATAGGGTGGAAATTTTAGAAAAATTCCCCATGCTAGAAAAATAAAAAGAGTATTTTACTTGTTCAGTGTTTAGTTTTGTTTTGAGTTCAGCATGGGGCAGGAGAGTGTTCCCATAGAATATGTGTACCTGTTGTAAGAAAACAAATTACCTGTGGGAATATGCAAGAAAGGAACATTTTGGAAGGAACTGAAGGGTAACGGAGGAACTTAGGAGTCAAAGAGCACAGATGTGCCAGTGTCTTTTAAAAGATAATGACTACATCCAAAACTGAAAACAGCAAAAAGGAGAGCAAATGAAAACCCAGGCAAGCGTACCTGATACAAAGCTCTTGTTTACTCCAAGACCTTCATGCTCCACTGTGCCTATTGGTGTTTTACATGCTGGTTTCACATGCTGGATTGGAAGGAACAGGAGACAGAAAACCAATCTCAATAAGTAACACAGGGTTTTCTGGCAATTGCCCTCAAAAGTAAAGGGAATGAAGTTGCCTCTTTTTCCCAAACATTGGTGTTAGAGTTTTTGCCATCCAGAGGGATCTTGACATGCTTGAGAGGTAGATCAATGCAAATATCATGGAGTTCAAAGAAGCAAAGTGCAAGGGCCTACACCTGTGTTGTGGCAATCCCAGGGACACCAACAGGTTGGTGAAGTGATTGAGAGCAGCCCTGTGGAGAAGGACTTGGGCGTGATGGTTGATGAAAAACTCAACATGAGCAGGAAGTGTGCACTCATAGCCCACAATGCCAACCATACCCTGGCTGTGTCCAAAGCAGCATGGCCAGCAGTCTGAGGGAGGTGATAATCCCCCTCTACTCTCCTCTTCTCTCATGAAACCCCACCTGGAGTGCTACATACAGTTCTGGTGCCTCCTACACAGGAAGGACATGGAACTGTTGGAGCAAGTCCAGAGAAAGGCCACAAGGAGTCCCTCCCATAACAGCCTTCCAGTATTTGAAGGGAGAGGGATTCTTCATCAGAAACTGTAGTGATAGGAAAGGGAAGAATGGGTGCAAATTGCAAGAGGGAAATTTAGGCTGGATATTAGGAAGAAATTCTTTACCATGAAGGTGGTGAGGCACTGTAAGTGGTTGCCTAGAGAAGTTGTGGATGTCTTAACCCCTGACAGTGTTCAAAGCCAGGTTGGATGGGCTTGGAACAGCCTGGTCCACTGGGAGATGTCCCTGCCCATGGCAGGGGGCACTGGGACTTGGTGATCTCTAAGGTTTCTTCCAACTCTTACCATTCTCTGATTTTATGATGCAGGATAGGAATCCCCCTGTACTGAGCCAAGTGGGAACTGCCTCATGAGTTTTCTCAGACTGGTTTGGACCAAACCAAAGCCCTCATGAATCAGGCCTCTAAAGTGCATGTGCTCATATGGTTTCTTCTCCTTTCAGTGATTGCACTGCAGAGGTAGTAAATAAAAAGTTGAGTGTGACCCCGCACTGCATACTGACATAATTTCAATTAATATGCTTCTCCATTTTCATCTCTGACGTCCACACGTGATTTGTAATTGTGAGTCATGGAGACATCTCCAGGAATGGCTGAAAAAGCTCCAAAAGGGAAGAAAGACACACCATGTATACTAGCTTTACTTAGCAAGGGAAAATATTTACCCCCCCCCCATGGTCTGACCTCACATTATTCAGGATGTCAGAGATAATTTTAAAGCCCTGGGTCTTCAAACCACTTCCATCTCATCAGTTATCCATGAAAAAGTGCCAGTTCTACAGATGGATGCACTCAGCCTGTGAAAAGCAAAATTGCACATCCACACACAGACTCACAATGTCCATCTTTCCTCTCTTACCTAGCCACCTTTGACTACTGGTCAGTTCTGGGACTGAAGACTTTCAAAGGCCTGAAAATATAAGAGAGAATTGAGCACAGAATCTGTATTGAATATGCCAAAGGAATGGTGCAAGTAACTCACAGTGATACTGTGTAATTCCCCTTCCTCCCTTCAGTCTTCTGGACACTGGTTCCAAGGATTTGCATTTGTTGGTTAAAGGCATTTTATAAAAAAGGGGAAGTAAAGCTCTTTGCAGCACTGAAGTTGTAGCAGCCTGATTAATGATTCAGCAATTCTCTATAAAGCAGCTCCCATGAGAGAAGGTGAGTGTACACCCCTCTGCAGACTCACAGGATGCTTCTTCATTCCATCTACCCCAGCAACGTGCCTTCTCCTGGAAGATGGCAGCCAGGAATACATGTAGGAACTTTGAGGATTTCTGTCCTCACAGCTCCAAATCCAAACCATAAAGAAAGGCATGCAATGCTATTTGGTATTTTTGCCTGGGTTTTTTCTCTCTCACTCTCATTTTCAGTTCTGGTTTTGCTCTTTGCTTCTGTGAGACACTCATTGCAAAACATGCAGAACACTCTCTCCACTTATGTCAGTAGTTGCTGAATTGCTTTAGCTTCTCCTCTTATACACCTGCACTGAATCAAAAAATATGGAGCTATCCTTTATTTTTCACTTGACTGAAAACTAAAATTCTTATTTATAGAACAGAAATATGACTGCTGCAAAGCAGTTTCTATAATTTTCAGTGGCTTGGCACAGGCATTTTTACTTAGGCAGTCAGTTGTCTGGTTTAGTTCAGAGGGGCCCAGCCTGGGAGGGGAAAATCCCTTGATAAAAGTTTACCATGCAATTGGGTGGCTGCAGCAGAAAAAGAATGACCTCTGTCTATGACAATGGATTCTGCATGAGCCCTCCCTCCCCTCTCGCCTCTTTTGCTATGACAGGTGGATCAAAAGAAAGTTATCCATATCCTCCAAGCCATGTGGATTTCTTTCTCCCCTTTCCTAAGAAAAGGTAGGATGAAGTTGGAAAAAATACCCTTATCAGTCCTGTACATTACAGCACAGTCACAAAACACATGTCAGTGGACTGAGGGGAATTCTGTATTAAACAGAAGAAGACACCAGAGACCTGGGGGTAAAGGTAAAGACCCAAGTGCACCAGCCTAAAATAAAACATGACAAAAAATGGGAAACCATCCACCAGGAAAGTGTACTGTTAGTGAGGACAGCAGACAGAGATGTCACTGGTTTTAAGTAGTATGAAAGCTGGAAAGTTTTACATCTGCTCCTGCAAAGTGATTTCTTTGGAGCTGTTTGAAGGAGGAGAGTGAAGGACTTTGGCAAGGGTGGTATGGAGGCTTCTCCCACATATATGAAAAAGGCACACAAAAACCACAAAGGTGCTGCTAAAATGCAAAATAGCAAACAGACTTGAGGCAGGTGCCACTCTCAGATTGCATGGGAATGACATTTGGCTGCTTACCAGGACTATGGGCCCTTACGCCACATGAACCCAAGCAGCCAGAGAGGTGTTTTGTTTAGGAGACAAGATATAGGGGTTTTTTTTAGGGTTTTGTTTCCTAAAGAGAAACTAATTTTTTCTTTACTGAGAACTATGTGCTGTTTAGCATCATCTCTCTGTATCATATATCATAAGATTTCCCTGTTATCCTTTGCTGTTGTTAAGGATTGGTTCCTGTTACTGTCACAAAACTGAAGGTCACACACTTCATCACTTCTGGTAGCTGACATCACCGAGATGTCTCCCCCACCTCTTCCTTCTTCATCACACTCTCCTCCCCCTCTACTTTCAATTCCCCATCTTCTCCCCCACACTGCCAGGCCAAGCATGCTCCCCATTCCTCTTTCCTCCGCTCCAGGCATTTTGGGTACTTGTCCTGCCCTTTGGACCTCAGGGACTCTGTGTTCCTCCCATGGCATACACAGTCTGCAGTAATCTTGCACAACATCACCTTCTCTGTAAACCAGAGATCTGCCATAGCATGCTAGTTGTGATTGCTAAAGGCTGGGAAACACATAGAATCCCTTGCACCAATCTATAGAAAAAGGTGAGATTAACTTTCTCAATACTCTCTCTTGCTGAAACTTCTTTTTTTACCACCTCTTCGGGAGTACTGGAATGTTTTCAACCTCTAACATATTTCTTTCTTTCCTTCTTACAGTGTCATGGAGATCTGCATATTCTTCCTTTGTGCTATGATATTTCTCCCAGGTAAAAGGCACATTTTTAATTATTAAAACTATTTTGATTGCTTGTGTCCTGCTATGTGATACTTTTTCATCCACTAAGAAGCTCATTCCTTAGTACTATTAATCACTTCCATTGCACAATCAAGGTCATGTAGCCCATGTGACATGTATTTAAATTGTGTGCAGGGACTCTATAAAATATATATAGTAAGTACTTCCTCTCTTCAACTTTATATCTTTACATTACACTTATTTTATGTTGCTCCTAAATTCTCAATTTAAATCTGTCTTTAAAATGTGTGTGTATCACCTCTGTGCATTATAGAGAAGAGTGGTACTAAACTAAAAACTGGCAGTCTGATATGGGACAACTGGAGTTTGAGGCAGCCACAGAGATCAATTTGTAGTCTTGTGCTCTGGAAGAACAGTCAAAACTTTGCACCAGGAGAGAGACTGTAGATCTTCTCCTTTTGAACACAGCAGAGATGTTTGTATCTTCTGGGACAGAGGGCTGCATTTCTTTTTCCAAGAAAACACAGTCCCCCTGGCCACTACTCATAATAATGGACACATGCACAGGAGAAAGCAGGAGAAAAATCATCCCTTGTGTAGTGCAGTTCATCCCTTCTTTGCATGAAGGCATAATTGTGTTTATTGACCATTTCTGTTAACAAGATCAGCAGCAGAACAGTTAAGTCTGACATTTACTCTGTCATTAAATTCTAAATTAATTACAGAACAGTTAAATCTGACATTTAATTTGTCATTAAACTTTAGATTAATTCTTCATAGAGATTGAAAGTGTTCACCTGCTTCTGACCTTCTGGTCATGCATTCCCTAGACACTCACCCTTACCATGCAGTGTGTACTTCACAGTTTCTTCAAAAATTTAATGTGTTGTAATTTTCTTAGGAGAATTAACTCAACTTTTTAAACAGAAATTGTGCATCTATCTTCTTTGTGGCAGAACCTCATTACACTCAGGATGCTGCAAGCAAGAATTGTTTGAACCTTTGGCCTGGAGATAAGTTTTGTAAAATATAGATGCTCATGACCTCTGTTTGTAGGCCTTTTTTGGAAAGTAAAATATAGGAAGAAAAATAAGAAATAGTTTTATGACCTGAACTCCTCATGACTAAATGAGTCAGTTTGAACTACTATGTGTCCTGTCATACCTAGTGGGATAATTTGTGTCTAAATGTTGGTGGTTTTATTTCCCCTGTTGTTAAGTGTTGGATACCTGAGTGCAACTTGATACTCTTTTGTAGCTGGTAGAAATCTTGATTTTTCTCTCTCTCTGTCTAAGGTATTGCTGCCAGTGTGCATCCGGTGAAGGCATTTCTCCATCACACTGTACACCTATCCTGCTGTTTTCCAAACTCTCAGGAAATTGACGTGAAGGATTTAATAATCTTTTGGCAAAAAGACAATAAAGTGGTGCATGAAGTATATCATGGCCAAGAAAAGCAAGAGAACCTTAGTCCTGAATATATAAATCGCACCAAGGTGGACATGGCCAAATGGACCTTGCAGTTGTTAAATGCAGAAGTTGAGGATGAGGGACACTATAAGTGTATTATTATGAAAAAAACAACTGAACAATCAAAAAGGGTCATACACCAATCTGAGTGGTCACTGCACATCATTGGTAAGTAATCTCTTCTGATTGCCATCTGGTCTGTGGGATTCTCCGTGATTTTGTTCAGCCCAGAAATATGGGTCCTGAAATTGTGCCTGTTCTGGAGCAAAATTTTTAAACATGAATAAGAGACTTGCTTCCTGCAGGTTTTATGGCTTTTAGGACTCTGGAAAATAAACTTGTTTATTTGCATCTGACAAACTACCTTCTATTAAAAGTAGCAGTAGTTATCCAACCTTATTAACACTGGTGGCAAATTAGAATTGAAACATGGCAAGATCTCTGCAAACACACAGCTATTTTATGATCATATAAATCACAGGGAAAATAAAGAAAAATACAGCCCACGTGTAGGAGCAGAAATTCATATATTCAGATAAAGGAAGGCAGAAAATACCTCTGAAGAAAATTATATACATATATTAGTGAGATTCCGCCTAATTTTTCTGCATCAGAGAATTTTTTGTAAACAGAGGAAAAGGCAGTTAGTCTTTTAACAGGGAGATGGAAGTGAGGCACCAATGTTCTCTTCACATTTTCTAATATTATTTTAATTCCTAATATATAATCCTAATGTTTCTCTATTTTAAATTATTCTGTTAGTAGCCTTCTCTATGCCTGTATTCTGTCTTCCACTGTGGTAGTGCTAATCATTAATAAAGCAGCTTCTAACTTGCACTGGAGTTTTCAGGCTTCAGCATACTGCTTTAAAAGAGAACAGGCCAAGTGTAACAGCAGCCAAAAACAGGGTACCAGGACAATTGACCCTATTTAGCTTTGTGCTACTAGCAAGTGTTCCCTTGTTCCACAGACAGAAAATGTAGATTGTTAATTTTGGTTCTCCCAGGATCTACTAGAGAAGCACTTTCAGTGGCATTTCGGAACTCAGAAACTCACAATGTGCACTCAGTATCAAGGCCCTTGGTTTAAGATGTGTAGCATCAAGTGCTCAACCAATTCAAACAGCTGAATCAGTTATCAGTTTACCCAAAATCTGAGCAACATGTTACAGACATCTCACTCTTAGGACTAAAAGTCTCCTACACCTTTTAAGGTTTAGGTTAAGAAGACGGTTTTAACAATGTGCTGTTGTCTTCCTTCCAAATTACTCTCTGTTCAAGAAACTCTCAAAGGAAGGAGCAGTATAAAACCATATTTTAAAGAAACTCAAGTCCTTCAAAATAATTAGATGGAAAATGCAAATACTGAAATGTACCTGTGCTTACATGCTGCTTTTTAATTAGAATCTCATATCATACGGGGAGGGATTTTTGTAGTTTGGCATGTCACACTTAAAATGGGCATAAGAAAACCCAAGGGCTGTACGAGAATGACAGGGCAGTCACACAAAGCTGCTTGGATCACTTGGTGACAAAGCATTCAGAAATAATGCAGTACCTTTGAATTCAATTTAAACATGTTATTTTTATGTATTACATTTGTACAATATATAGATAGCATGAAAGTGTGTCAAGGGAGGTTTAGGTTGGATAGCAGGAAAAGGTTTTTCACCCCATGGGTGGGAGGCCAGGCACTGGTAAGTTCCCCAGGGAAGTGGTCACAGCACCTGAGAGAGTTCAAGAACAGTTTAGCCAATGCTCTCAGGCACATGGGTGTGACTCCCTGGCCATCCTTTGTGGCACCAGGAGTTGGACTTGATGATCTTTGTGAGTCCCTTCTAACTCGAGAAATTCTAGGATTCTATATACATGTTAGATGTATTTCATACTGCCATGATAACTTATATAAAAACAGACTCAGATCCCTCTCCAGAAAAAAATGAAGGCTTCACAGTGGAAAATTTTGGCTCTTAAAAATGCAAGGTAGGGACCATGCCGACAAGCAGCTTAACTGGAAAATCTCCTATTGTGGCATGTCTGCAGTGCTTCCTCTGGATAGATCAATAAGGGAAGTAGGTAAGACTAGGGAAGCTGTTTCAAAATATGCACTACTCAGAGCATTGAGACCAAAATGATGTCACAAGAGAGACTTAGAGTTGCTCGTTATAAAGAGGATGTTGAAAAACTGAAAAGTGTGAAAAAAAGCTCTAGTAGAGTTATCTGAAGACTGGAAAAGATACAGTCAACTAGAAACATTAAAACAACAAGCTTACAACCTTATAACACAGAATAATCAGAAGAGTTTTGTTTCCAGAATGTGAGATCCTGAAATACATGTAAAATACTGCATATTAAAAAAAAAATTTCAAAGGCTAGTTAATTAATTCTGCAACAGTCGGTGTCTGGAAGGAAGGCAGATGGTCACTTAAGAAAATAGAATAAAAGCAAAGTGATTAGCCATTGAGAAAAATATTAAGGGCTTGATAGACTGCTGTCTCTTGAGTTATTTAACCTAATCCCAAAGTTTTTTGGAGGACACTATCTTTAATAAAAAAGACCTCCTGAAATGTGCTTTTCTGTTAACAAACATAAACCCCATATATGTAGCCCACACCCTGAATGCACCCAGCATCACTTTTCAGTAAATTGAGGTTCCAGAAACTATAAAAGAGAAGTGCAACCTGTATTCTACTATTTCCACTTGCTTACTGTCAATAAGATTGAAGCCCTTAAATCACTTGGATGTTGTGGCAAGTTTCATAGCCATGGATTACTTTCTTGCTATCCCTATAAAATACCAAGGAGAGAATAAATACTCCAGACTAGAAGTCTGACAGCAGTCAGCTAAGCAAGTTAGACCTTGAGCTTTTCTGAGGGACACCTTAACTAAATTTTGAGGTATAGAAAAGGGGGGGCTTTTTTTCATTTTGAATTCATACCCATCAACTCTCTTGGGGGGATTTAAGTGACTAAGCGAAATCCTATGCATTGTGTATTAGGATAGAGAAAATAAAAGCAAAATCATGTTTCTTCATTCATACATATTAACAGTCCTCTAGGGCAAGGATTAGATCCTTGTTCCAACACACTGAGTGTATGTGCAGAAGAGTGAGACTCACCCTCTCAAGACTCACATTTTCCTAAGAACCCTTTTCCCTTCTCCAATATTTCTGCATATTCTTTAGTCCTATTGGCCCTAAAAATTTGCAATCAAATCTTGAGTCTACTTCTCAGTATTTGTTTCTGACTTTTTGGGAGGTTCTTTGGGGTTTTTTTAACTTGCTATGTGCCAACTTAGTGGTCAGTACTATGTCAACATTCTCTCTTTCTCCTTTTCAATTATAGTCTGTTGTTTTTACTATAAACCTCTGACCAAACAAATCCTGGTTGAGTGTATCTAGATTAATTAAGAGAGGGTATTGGTTAAAAGCTTCTATTTGTCATTCATATTTTATGTTTAAATAGTTCTTCCCATTCCTGTTTCACTATTTCTTGCATGGGAAATTTGACTTTTTAAAGTAACAGGTGTGTTTTTCATTTATTGTGATGAGTGAATGACACAAAATAAAAAACCATTATGCTATAGTCAATTCCATCAGAAAAGCTAAGCTAAGGGAACCCTGCCACAAAGTGATGATGAATTATATGCTGCAAAATGTTTACTTACAATACTGACCGACACCAGGGATATTTCTACTTAAACAGCACTGCACTTTGAACTTACCCTATCTGGATTCTCTCAGATTATTTCTATTTTTACATTTCCCAGTTAGAAGTTTGTGGGTTTCCCCTTACCCATTCAGGATACCAAAGGTAGAGAACATTGTAGTCCCTTCCCATTTTCTGCTTAAGCCTTATTTGTGGGGCTTAAGGTTTCATTATTCTGAGGTATTAATATGTCTTAAAGAGGTGGGAGAGACAGAGGCCCATTGTCTGACTGATCAGACTTGCATCCTTGAAACACCCTGAGAACAAGAAGCAGCAAGTCTACATACACACCAAAAAAATGCCATACAAATCCCTTATTGGAATGCCCATTGTCTTCCTGAAGAAAAGTGTTTAGACTTGTTGCTGCCTGAAAATCTTAAATAACTTAAATATTAAATAACTGGCAGAGACTGTCACAAACGTGGTGTGGCTGGCTCATGATGCTCTGTCTTTGGTCTATTTCAGCCAACTATAGTCAACCTGAGATAGAACTGCACTCCGGGGAACTAAAGCCCAATGGATACTTGAACCTCACCTGTTCTTCCAGCGGAGGTTATCCAGAGCCCAAGGAGATGACTTGGCTGATTTCACATGAGAACATAACACTCAGCAGCCCTGCTCACATGAATGTCTCACAGGATGCTGTGACAAAGCTGTACAACGTTACCAGCAAGCTGAATATCCCAGTTCCTGCAGGGAGTCCCACTAATATCAGCTGCTTACTTCGCCTTCGGGAGCAGCTGGGAAGCCTTGTCTCAGTCCCACTGAGCATAGGTGAGTCTCCCTTTGGCCATTCCAATTTCTGCATGGGTAGGAGCAGGTAGTACTGCAGCACAGCTGATCACAGACAGCAGCAGGTTCAAGGCAGGGAATAAACTCTGAGTAGGACTAGGAGTTGATTAAAAGGGTTGTAGGTGCTCTATCCTATTCACCACTGAACTTCCTCTCTTTTCCACACGGGAAATCTTATTACAGCAAGGAGAGGGCACAGAGAAGGAATTGCTACACAATCCAGAACACAGCCCTGTTGATCCCCTCCCTGAAAGATGCTGCAGTAGCAACAAAGCAACCTAGGAGTCTGGATCAGGCAGCAACCAGTCTCTAGAGGTGACAGCTGTTGGGAGAGGTTGTCACTTCACAGAATCAGAGAACTGGTGAGGTTGGAAGGGGCATCTGGAGATAATCTAGTACAACCACTCTGCTCAAAGTAGGGTCAGTAAGTAGCACAGCACTTTATCCAGTTGAATTTTAAACACCTACCACGATAAAGACTCCACAAACTTCCAGAGTTTGACTACCCTGATATTAAAAAAGGAGTCTTTTCTGGTTTAAAATGCTTGAGCTGCTATTCTTAATCATTTCTTAGAAAGAGGCAGAAGGCTAAACAGAGGAGTTCCATGGACCATATTTGGTTCACAAACTGCCAAATAAACTGTGCTGAGTTTAACTGTAAAACCATGAAACTTGGACTAATATTAGAAGCATTCCTGGTGGTTTTCATAACATTTGGCAGAATTAAGTGCACATTCCAAAATGACTATTTGGGGATTTTTCATCTCTGAAATTGTGTCTTTTTTCAGACACCTCTTGCAAGAAGAAGCTGGGGACCTGAGTTCCATTATGACTTTACTGACGGATTATCTCAGGGTTCCACATGGCTGATCCTTTCTTTAAACTAAAGCAGTATTTTATTTATCTTCTGGACCAGGAAAACTTCTTTTCACATTTTTTTTGTTTATAAGCTATGGCACAAGAACATCAAAGCAAAGACAATTCCCATTTTGGTCATACGTTCCTTTGGCTTGCACCTCTCTTTTAGACAATGCTGAAGATGGAGAGCTGTGCTTCAATTAATAGGAATAAGGAGCCAAGAGGGAATGGTAGCATTGCAGGAAAGCCTACCAGGGCAGTATAAACATGCACCTTATTACTGCAGATGTAAAATAAATTTGCCACTTGGTCTGAAAAAGTTCCATAGTGAAGTTTCCTTAATATAAATTTAGCTAAAGGGTTAAGTTATCAACACCAGATATGGCAAACTGCCTCTGATGTCTTTGCATTCTAAGACTTTCAAATACTGTTAAAATACAATCCAGAAGCCTTCTAATGTTTGTTCAGCTCTGCACATTACTCATTAGTTTTGAAATGGTTATATTAACTATAATGCTGAATCTTCCTCTTTCCTCTTCAATTCTTCTCTCCTCTCTGGCTTTATGAAAATAGATACCTGACAAACAGTGATGGTGGGTAAGAAACCAGGAACTCTACACAAACATAAGTTTTGTTTGGCAATAACTGAAGCTCTATCAGCTGCTAACCCTGCCAACCAAAACCTCAAAAACACAAAAACCAGAAATAGAGGGAAAGTCCTTTGAATTCCCTGCTACTTTCACATCCCTTACAGCATTTCATTAGGCTTTGACCATCATTTCCAACAGACACCAAGTAGTAACATGTTCCAGGTTCTTCCAACTAGCATGGCAACACGGAGCAGCATTGGCACTGTAGCTGCCGCATAGGCTGTTGTACCAATTAAGTTGCTGATCTTTCACATGCTACTCAAACCTTAGAAAGAGTTATTTGCTTTGCTGCTGTTTAAGTGAGTAGTAAGACCAGGTAGTTTCACTAGTTATTGGAACTGGAAATAAAATAATGTGGATAGTGATTTATTGACACTAGCAAAGCAAAAAGGATGTCAAAGGCCTTGACCTAAATTTCTATTTCATGTAACTTTGGGATAGAGTGTTTAAAGTAATTGCCACCAAATTAAATCTTGGCTGTGTGTATCTTCTTTGTTTTCTTATTCAGAGATAAAAGAGAAAGAAATGGAGCAAGCAAAGATAAATTTCTTTGGCCCACTTATAGCTGCGGTTGTAGTGATCATTTCTGCACTTCTTCTGGGTTTTGTGATATTAAAGAAGAACAGAAATATCTTGTCTACCAACCAGAGTAAGTTACTATGTGTCATTCAGCTCTACCATCCCTCAGCTCACAGGCTTTACCCTTCGTAATCATCCCTCTACCTACTTTCAAGCTGCTGACAGAAAGTTAGGTTTCATGTTGGACTTAAGCCAAACTTCCCAGGACAATTTAGTTCCTGTAGCAACTTAGTCTATCCTGCAGTAAGTCAAAGCATCTTTCTCCTGTCTCATCCTGGAATCCACTTCTGCCCATTTTTGTCCTCTGTGAGACTGCCATGGCACCATCTTACCACCTTTTCCAGTAGTTTCATCCTGCTTTTTTTCTGGATTTGGGATAGATTTGGCTCCTAAAGTCATTGAACTATATAAATCTTTCTTTCCTATCACTACTATAAGAAAGGTGGAGTTGGGGCAGGGATGAGATGAACTTACATGAAGTTCACAGAAGGATCTCTGTCATCACAGAGTTGAACCTTGCTCCACCACAAGCTGCCCACACACTGGGCTAAAAGAATCATCTTGTACTGGGAACAGAACTTGATCTTGGCATTTCATTTCTCTATTTTATTCCGAGACTAATTCTCAGCAGTTCAGGGTTTATTCAGCATTGAATCATGTTGACATCAAAATCTATTTTCCTTATAGCAAGAGGGAAATGCATCCCTCAGTCAGTCCTGTTTCCCTATACAGTTAAGGGTCCTGAGCCCCACCTTGCTCTTTTCTGAAATTCTAAGATAACTGGACATTTACTATCAACTCCTTTACCCGCTCCTATTTTTCACATGTCTGTAAATCACATATTGATCTATTCTAGGTGTCAGTCTAGCAGTCTAGAAGCTATCCAGATTGAAACTGAGGCCATCAGCCAGACTGCTGACTGGGAACCGCCTCTGCACCCAGCAAAGCATGAGGTCCCGTGTTTATAGAGGTTCTGCCAGAACAAGAATCCTCCCCAGAAGCCCTACAGAACAACATGCCACACTTTTGTGTGATGGATGAAACCTACTGCCCAGTGTTCTCTGTTTTTATTGTTGCTCCAGAATGGTAGTAAATGGTAGTAAATATGATGCTCTGCCTGTCTGCATGACTACCTTTTTGTTGTATCTTTTAATATGCACTGTGACAATGTAAAATCCTGAGAGTCAATGGAGAAAGCAGAGCTGTATGGGTCACAGAATGTCTCAGAAATAGAAAGAGTTAAGCCACAATCTGTGATTCATAACCATCACTGCAAACACAGAGCCAAGCTATTACCCATAAATCATAGAATCATAGAACCATAGAATGACTTGGGTTGGAAGGGACCTTGAAGCTCATCTAGTTTCAAGCCTCCTGCCTGACCATGAGCCATAAATGCTTTTGGCAGAGCGACTGTGTAACTTCCTTGTAAAGCTTCACATCAGGAAGAGGAACTTCGAGGCACATCCCCACTTTCTGAGAAAAGTCATGGAATTCCTATCAAGCATTTGAATCTAGAAATAACCTAAAGGAAATACTTGCTTTAAACATAATTTGTGATTAACGTATTTTTTTTTTAATATATATATCATCCAAGCTTAATACACCCAGACAGTTAGTACCTCCACACTTTGTTCCTCTGTATTCTGACTGAGAGTTGTAACAGTTGTTCAGGTGGATGCAGGGATAGAAAATGACAGCATGAGGTATCACATGTGTGTATATCTAAGCATACAAAATTAGGCTGAGCAGATAATGAAAAAATATTACATAAGTAATGTTCCTTTTTTGTTGACTATGTTCTTAATTTTGCTTCAGACCTTGATGATAGAGCAATTCATATACTGGGGTATATTCAGCCATAGGAAGGAGTTTTATCCTTCAGAAAAGATCCTTTGTTTCGCTCAAAATGTGTCAGTTCTCCCATCTTGAATGATCTCTGCACTTTATATTCTTCAACAGTACTGACATCTCTCCAGAGGAAGAATGCAGCAGAACTGAGACAAAATTCTTCTGAGATCTTGATTGTGTTTGTAGGTCTGACACTTTCAGAAAGAGCAGGGACATTAGCATCATATTCTTAAGACAAATTTCAGCTCAGAGTTGCAGTCTGGGGACATAAATTTTCTACAGTTGTTGGGTAGAAATATTCTTTTCTATTAAACGATGAGAGTTGCTAGATTTCACCTCAATTTTTACTCCATTTTCAAGTATGTCAGAGAAATGCCTGTCCTTTTGAGTTAGCTAAACTATTTGGGAGTCAGTTTATTAAGCTATTACACTAACATTCAAAATATTTTCATTCAGATTAATATCATTCAAATGTTATTAAAAGGTAAAGGTTTTAATTTTTTGTAAAAATTTGTACTTTCTAGCAAACTTATTTAATGATGGATTAAAACATATGTCTTTTTCTGTGTTGCTGTTTTTATTCTCCTTCCATTAAAGCATCTTGTTAGGGAATACCAACATTTGGTGATCTCAGGGAGGAAACATTTCCAGAATTACTTCTTGGAAGCAAATGAATCAAAAAGTTATTGCTGCAATGACTGAGACTGACAAGTGGAGGCTTCATATGTTCATTCGTACATACCTACATATGATATGTACATCAGCAACTGTAACTAGTGGAAAAGGCAACATGGTGGGTTAGGTTTATCCTTTGACAACTCCCTTCCATCCTTAATTTGTTCCTAATTGGTGAAGTTGTTTGTTTTCTCCCTTGCCATCCCTCTACTTTAGGCTGCCAACCTCTTTCTATTAACTGCTCAATTTCTCTACCTCCTCTATTCTTTCCCTTAAATCAAGTCTAATTCCTTCCTGAGGTAAAGATTTAAGGGGAAAAAAGCAGATGGGCTTCAGGGAAAATCTTAATTTGTCTCTGTGCATTGAAACATTATTCCTCTGCACCAGCAGGTGTAATGAGCACAGTAGCAAGGCACAGGAAAAGCATGGCTGATATGCTGGCATTTGTCCTCCATACAAATGCATTCACATTTCCAGGCTATCTCCTCACATATTTCATTTCTTTCTTTGACAGCTTTCAGTCAGTGACTCCATCAATGTGGCAAGCACATGAAAGAGTGTACATCCAATATGTACCACAGCATGGAACATCTTCACTCACAAACACCATCCCTTTATTTTTAGGCAGAACATTATGAATTTCAGAAAACAAAGAAATGTTAACAAAGAAATGGCAAAGATGCATTAAATTTGCATCCAATGCTCTAATGTAAAATTCTTTATCAGACTCAGAGTTGTGATAGATTGCTTCAAGTTAACTGATTACCAGCACTAAATCACCCAATAGTTGAGATTGGAATGGATCTAGAAAGTGTATCCAGCTCAACCCTCCTGCTTGAGCAGGGTCACCTGGAGCAAGTTGTCCAGGTCTATGTCCGGACAGTTTGTGAATATCTCCAAAGAGGAAGACTCCACAGCATATCTGGGCAGGGTTCAGCCTTCACAGTAAAAAGGATTTCCTTCTGAAAGGTGTTCAGAGAGAACCTCCTGTGTTTCAGTTTGTGCCTATTGCCTTTGGACTGTCACTGGGAACCACTGGAAAGAGTCTGGCTCAGTCTCTTTTGCACCCTTCCTTCAGGGATTTATACACACTCATTCGATCTCAGGCTTCTTTTCTCCAGGCTGAGCAGCCCCAATGTACTCAGCCTGGGCTCATACGAGAGATGCTCCAGCCCTTAAATCATCCTTGTAGTCCTTCACTGGACTCTCTCCAGTATGTCCACGTCTCTCACATACTGGGAAGCCCAGAACTGGACGCAGGATTCCTGATGGCGCCTCACTGGTGCTGATTAGAGGGGCAGTACCACGTGCCTCATCCTGCTGGCAGCGCTTTCCCTGAGGCAGCCCAGGCACTGTTGGCCGCCTTTGCCACGAGGGCGCACTGCTGCCTCATCTTCAGCTTGTCCACCAGCCCATCCCTGTCCTTTTCGGCTCGGCTGCTTTCCCGATGGATTGCCCCAGCCTGTACCTGTGCATTTTGGGGGCTATTCCTCCCACGCTGCAGGACTTTGGATTTCCTTAGATTTTTTTTCGGAGGTTTCTCTCTGCTCATTTCCCCAGCCTCTTGAGACCCCTCTGGATGGCCACACAATTGTCTGGGCTCCACTCCTCCAAGTCTTTTGTTTAAACTTGGTGAGTGTACACGTGCTCCCAGCATAGAGGTCATTAGCAAAGGTTGTTAGCAAAGAGGAAAGTCAGTTTTACTGAAAATTCCTAAATGCCAGCCAGTGCTACTGCAACAAGCAATATTTCCCTATCGTTAACAAGTGATGGAACAGTGGAACGTTGCATTTCCAGAATATTCTACAGTTACTTCTGAGGAGATCAATATTAAAAAAGCACCATACAGCAAGTAGGCCTTAGGGCACTTTTTCCTCTTTCAGGTGAATTATTTGCTATTGGAGTGCTATTACACTCAACCAGAAAAATACAATAATTCTATTAAAGAAATCTATCTATGTTTTGGTTTCAAATTATCTTTCTTCCTCCTTTCCAAACTCAGAAGGCAAAAAGCAAAATTTTATATATATATATATATATATATATATATATATATATATATATATATATATAAGCAAAATGCTTCTCTACACTGGAATGCCAGGCTGTCATAAATTCATAACTAATTTCTCCTTGGTTTTCAATCTTCTGCACTAAGAGGATCATAATGCTGGGACCAGGAAGGATTTAAGCAACACATGTTTTCTGATTTCAGGATGGACTGCCAGAAGGTTTTCAAGACAAAAACTACAGTTAGACAGAAAAGCTGGTGAAAGCTCTGAAAGATGGGAAATGGATGTGGACTGAGAAAGTGTAAGGACATGAGTGATACACCAGGCTGGCTTGCAACAGGAAGTGCAATGCATCAAGTGCCGAGCAGCTTCACAGACTCCAGGAAAGCTAGGCAAGGCTTGCCACTAGCAAAGAAAGATTCTGCACAGAGGTCCAGAAATTCAGTATATTCTTACAGACATTAACATGTCATACCTCCTCACATACTTGTGAATTTGAGCTTGCAGACATGCAAGCTCAAATTATCCTCCATTTGGTATGTTCTTGATATTGAGATCAGCATATCTTTCATCCATTGCTTTTGTTAATCTCTTAAAACAAAACAAAAAACAAAAACAACCTCATGAAAATAATAAAAAATTATCGCCAGCCATGTGCTTCTAATAAACAGTACTTACTATTTCAGAAGGGCATAGACGTAGGAAAAAATTGAAACAATGAGTTGAGAGTAGCTCAGATTGCAGTGCACAGCTGATGCACCATGTATGTTGCCTGCCCTCTTCTGAAACACGCATTTGATTTAACTTGTACAGGTTTTAAAATGGGACTATGACATAGAAGCAACAGAGAGATCTTACTTCTTTACCTTACACTGTTAAATGCACTACCATACCCAGAAACATGTCTTATTTTCTAAAAAGTTAAAATATTAGAATTGGAGAAGTGAAAAAAGATGGTTAAGTCTCTAGAAAGCATGTTTACAATGTGGAATTTGTGAAGTTCAACCTATGCAAGTGATGAAGAAAATGGAGAAAGTACCTGATTAATCTGTCTGGTGCAAAAACACTTTAAATGATTGATCAAATAAGGAAAGTGTGAAAGATCATTCCTACTCAGTGACTCTTACTGGGGAGTCCAGAGCTGGACACAGTACTACACGTGTGGCCTCACCAGTGCTGAGTGGGGGAAGGATACCCCTCCTAACCCAGTCCAGGAGGGGTATCTTTGTCACTTTGTACAGCTTGGGGTCCACCAGAACTATTTCTCCAAAGCTGCTTTCCAGCTTGTCATCTGCCAGCATGTGCTGCTGCATGGAAAGGAGACAAAGAAGTGAAGAT